TCAGTTAAAATTTTTATTCTACCGTCATTTTCAAAAACATATCTACCTGCACACACATAAAAAACATCAACCTTGAATCATAAGAAATTTGCTTGATCTGTTTGGAATCTTTTTTATAAAATGGGATTCTAAGAAAGATACTGGTAATTCAGATTATAATTCATCAACGAACGGAATAGCAACGTTTTAGCAACGTTAGTGCAATGTCAGGGACCGAATTGATAGAACATATTTCGTGCAATGTTGTTTTTGATTAAACATTAATTTTACAAGTTCATAACTTAAAATCATATTAAAAATAATTAAATAAAGTGTATAGTAACAACCTATTTTTATCATTAATTACGGGGGTAAATTCATTCAATTCAAGTCATTCATTGACTGGAGTTCGATGTAATTTTTAAGAATACCCTAGAGGATATTTCTATTAAATATAATTACCGTCCCAATAGATTTCCTACAATCAATCAAGGTTATTGAATCGTTAAATAAGAAACACGTAATCTCTCATTTTTAATATAATTAACAGATTTTAATTAATTAAAATAAATATATATATATATATATATATATATATATATATATATATATATATATATATATATATATATATATATATATATATATATATATATATATATATATATACATATATATATATATATATATATATATATATATATATATATATATATATATATATATATATATATATATATATATATATATATATATATACACACATATACATATATACGTGTACATGTAAATACACGTACATACAAATAAACATACATATAAATAATACACATAAACAATATATACCAATACAAACTTATCGTTATTATACGTATAAGTCACGTGAGTATAACAGATACATAATATTTTAAATGTATATTTGCATGTGCAAGTATATATATTTATATGTTTGTATTTTTATATGGGTGTAAATAATTATACATGTATTTATAGGTGAATATTTAAAAATGTATTATTAAACGATTATTATTTAAAATCTGTTAACTATATTAAAAATTAGAAACTTTGATTGATTGTAGGAAAACTATTGGGACGGTAATTATATTAAATAGAAATACCCTCTAGGGTATATTTACATAATTTAAAACAGGTGTGTATATAATATTGGTAAATCTTGAAATTTATCTTTTAGTTGCTACCTTTGACTAAATTACATCGACCTCCAGTCAATGAATGACTTGTTAAAAATTTACCCCCCAAAAACCACAATCGCTAAATCTTTGACAGCTTGTTAATCGCTTCCTTTACTAATTGCAGCATACTAATTTGCAGTCAGTATTAAATTAGTATTAAATTAATATTTAATACTGATTAAGATGATATAGATGCATAATATTTGTTGTACAAAATAATACATAAACCAGTCAAATTCAAAGTTACATAACAAAATTTTAATGTACAAAGTAAATATTTATATATATAATTAAGATATAAGAACTCGTTAGTATAAAATATAAGATGTACCTAAAATAATACATCCATGCGTCCCAAGCAGGGCCGTAGGGGGTGCAAAGGTTGCATCGCACCAGGGCCCCACAATTTCTTAATTTTTAGGTCTCCATTTTTTAGGTAGAATAAAAAACAAAAATGAAAATGTTGCAAATATATGTAATGAGTTCTTTTATATTTTTTTATTACCACTTCAAACCAATCCTGAAACTTGATTTGCGGTTTTCAAGTAAAGAAGGGAGGGGGGTCAGTTGATAAAATCCATTGATATTGGAGGTGACACTTCTCCCTCTCCTTCCATGGATTTTATTTCATTTAGTCGGCAAATTCAGAAAATAAGAGAAATAATTTTTTAAAGGAAAATATTATTTTGCCCCTCCCTTCCCCTCATACACAATTTGCACCTGGGCCTCCTAAAAGCCACCGGCCGGCTCTGGTCCCAAGTATACATTACAAGACAAAAGTTAAGTAAAGAATAAAAAAATATAAAAAAATAAAAAATAAATTAAAAAAAAAAGTAAATTTATTTTTAAATTAAGATAAAAGATTTTGTATATATAAATTACGATAAAAGATTTCTTAGGAGTATTAATAATGAAACAAAACAAATTTAAAGATGTATACGAATGTTTTCAATTGAGAAAATAATTTTTTTTAATTTTCTTTTAAATATGAAAAAGTTCCATTCTTGAGAAAAATCAAAAAGTTTAAATACGACTTTGTTCCATAAAAATGCTCCTCTAAATATATACAAAATTTACCAAAATTGGTTTTAAAAACTGGATGAAGAATAAAATTTTTATTACGCAATTTGAACTTTAAAGAATATAAATTGTGAAAAGAAATCGGAGATAAACGTTTTTTACATTTAATCAAAAAACGCAATACGTTAAAAATATTAAGTTGATATATATTTAGAATATTATAAATATTATTAAATATTAATAAATATTAATAAATATATTAAGAATAATTAAGATATATATTAAGAATATTCATTTCATTCAAGAGA